GCTGAACAAAGTCACAGAAGAAATCTGACAAGGGCTGTTAAATACAGAGGTGTTGTCTGAGGCTTAGGAATTCCCTGAGCTTCACGCCATACTACCTAACTACTCCTTTTCCAGGGATCCAGCACCAACTGCTGCTGGAGACTGAAGCCAGGCTGGGACACACTGGCATGTCCCTGTTCATCCAGTCCCATGCAGAAAGACATACCTTACATATGAAAAAATACTAACATAGCCCTACAGTGCCTTATCCATGGCTTTTTCACTGTATTATCTCCACAACACAGGGCCGTTTCCTGTAATGCTGCACCTGCTTGAACTGGCAGCATAAGCAGTGCAGACATCTTCTTGGCCACCTGTGATGCCTCCTCTTTTGATCCCATCAGACAGCAAGTTTCCAATTGTTGCAGTCCCATTCCTCGGTACAAATGTGTGTGCTTCAAATGGTGCATGTTCATGACTAGGTCTTCTCTTCTTCAAATGTCACCCTGTAGTTGAACAAGCACTCCAGAGTAATTGAGAACCAAAAGAATCTCTCACACAGGTCTCTTCCCACAGCAGCCTCAGCAGACCCAGATCTCCTTCCTAGCTTTTCCTCTTTCACAACTGCTCAAGTTTTTACTCGTGGCTTGACATGCACCATGACCTAGGTTTTGGTTTGAAATTATCATCCTAATACTTTTGCTCTGTATGCTTTAGAAAGAGAGTCTTTGTAAGTTTTCAGCATAGAATCGGAAATGAAGTATTTAATAGTCTACGCACTTTTTTCCTCTGCTAGGGGCTAGGACTTGGAGCTGGGTGTCAGGGCTGCCATGGATTTTACCTGCTTCCCATACCTGGTCCACTGTAGAGAATCATCCAGCCAGAACCAACCAGCATGAATGAATGAGAGTAAGGAAAGACCGAAAGTGCAGAACTGATTTAAATAAAAAAAAAAAAGAAACGAAAAAACCAACCACACAAGGGAGAAGGAAAGGATCAGCTTCTGGCAGGTTGCTTAAAAGTAGTCTTGAGGGAGAAGTCCAGACTCAGCAGGAATTCCTGGACTGTTGTAATCACAGCCCAGAAAATAGTCTGGTTTCCAAATCCTCACAGAAGTGAACAAGTTCTAAAAGGTTTTTGGTTTTCTTCTTTGACAGTGCTATGCTTGAATCCAAACATGCCATTTTCTGCTTCTTGCATGCCAGCCCCTCATATATGAACAGATGCTTGATTCTGGGTAGTTGGCAATAATATTATTTGGTTTTATCAATGTTTCAACTGTAGAAGTCAATATTCCTGATTCTCCCAGAGTTCATATGCAAAACCTGATTAGTAGCTTACAGTTTTGTGCATTGGATGCTTCTGTTCAATTGGATGGTATCTCTTCCTTTCGTCATATCAACTTCACCACTCAGCTTGGGGTCATCTACAAATTCTCTGAGGGTGCCCCTGATCCCAATATGTAGGTCATTGATAAAGATGATAAAGATCATCTGTCCTAGAGGTGAGGCACTGAGAAAAGCTGTGGGTGCTCCATCCCTGGAGGTGCTCAGGGCCAGGTTGGATGGAGCCCTGGGCAGCCTGAGCTGCTGAATGGGCCTTAAGGTCCCTTCCAACCCAAGCCCTTCTATGACTCTATCATTTACAGAAAGCAAGAGTGAAAGAGTGCACAGAATGTTAAAGAAAACAGAGAACAACGTGACTTCTAACATCTCCTTTGGACTTAGTAAAGGGAAAATAATTTTGAAAAAGAATTTTTAGGAGTCCAGAGCTGAAGATATAGCCCAAGAAAAATGATTCAGAGAACGCACAGTGAAATAATACTTCTCTTTGGGAATGAGTAAAGACATAGCTTCCTCCAGTGGTTAGAATATCATATGCAGACACTTGCCAAGTATTTACAGGTTGAGCTCTGGCACACTGATTAATGGGTCCTTTGAAAATGCAGTAAAGCATCTGGAACGAAAATCAAAACTTATTAAGAACAGATGGATGCGGTCCAGGTCAGCCTTCTCTAGTGCACATATTTGTAAGCTGGATGTAAAAGTAATTTTGGAAAGATAGTTTGAATGGAAACTGTGTCTAGAACTCAATACATCAGACAACAGACTTCATCAAAAAAAGCAGGACTGCGAAAGAACAGGAGCAATTAAAGTTATTCCCTGAGCTCTGAAAGTCTGATTCCAGCCGATAATGCCTTCTGCAATCCTATAAACCCTTGGTCCCACATCATTACCTCAACCACACATTAATTCTGGACTGTTATTCCCTCAGTTCAGAAAGAGCCTTGTTAAATAATGCAATTGTTAAGCATGTCATGCCAAGAACAATATCTGTGTTTTCTCCACCTGGCCCCCATACAGTAGTAGTGCCAGGTTACGGGGCTCAGATTGACTTTTAGGAGTTAAAGTGCTTTGGGAAACAACATACTGTTCAGCATGTTCAATCAAGAATTAGGTTTCTATAGTTTAATCACCTGTAATAAATCCTCTTGAAACTGTTAAAAGAATTCTTAAAAAATGCTGGAAAGTGAAACTTGGCATCACTAAATTAAAAGAAGGCCTTAAAACTTGCTGAGGTGTCATTTAATAAAAAGCCTGGAACAGGTGCATAGGTATGTAACCAACAATATTAAAACCAGGGACACTGTGAAGACCTTAGAGCACCACCACCAGCAAATCAATTGGAAATAAATTATAATGAAATAATCACTTGAGCTAACATCTTTGCAGGCAGAGAAAAGTATGTATTTCTCTTATGTGGAAGAAGTGTCTTATTTATGAGTGTAAAACAATTGATTCTCCTGAAGTTGTTGCTGGTTCCTGAGAGGCAATTGTTAAAGGAATAACTGAAGAAGCTGCCAATACAGAGACAGGAGATCTTTGGGGGATCAAGTACAGAGGAAGACGACAGGGTGCCCCCACAGAGGCAGAGGAAGAAGCTCTGGCTGCACCTCGCCACCCACAGCCCTTCCTGATGGAGCCCAGGCCAACTCAATCCATCCCACTCCCAGCTGGATCCAACAGATTTCCCAGGTGGAACAAGGAAGCCACCTGCACCGAAACCAACTTTACCTCTCGGAACTGTCTCCCTTTGCCCCATTCCTGGTGGAGAGTCAGCCCTGGTCCCAGACACTACCATCTCGAATTCTCCTCTACAGCCAGTGCCACCAGCTCAAGGAGCAGCTCTGCACTTCAAGCTTGTTCTTCTCTGCTCCCTCCTTCTTGCTCACAAGTAGAAGATAGGTTTTGTGAGTGCATATTCGGATTTGTTTATTTTTCCCTAAAACAAACCCAAAAGCTCCTATTTGGAGATTCCTGATGAGATGGACTGACCTCTCAGCTGAGCCCTCTCCCTTTCCGCTCTTCAGCTGCCACGCTCTGTAAACCTTTCCATCATGCACAGGTAAAGTGCTCCCACAAGCACCCTGCAAACAGGCAATGTTTTGGAAACAAAGAGAAGTAATTAGTCAAGATCCCAACCAATTATTTAATTTCATGCTGAGAGCAGCTTTCTTCCATACCCATCAACAGAGTGAGCTCCACAAACCATGGACAAGCCCACCTTGACACTTGCCCACCCAGCACCAACCCAGCTGGCACAGAAAGCAGCAAACTCCACAGAAAGCAGCCTGGCTACTCACTGTGTTTCCCAGTCAGGCCTTCTCCACCGCTATCTCAATGATTCTAAAGCTGTGACTCTCATGTGTCCGAGTCAGAAGTCGTTTAACCTGCTCTCAACAGAATAGAATAGGGAAATTCTCATGCTTTTTTTTTTTTTCTGGTGTTGTTTTTTTTTTTTTTTTTTTTTTTTTTTTTTTGTATTGTTACTGTCAGATCCATGTTCAGTGCCTGCTGACAACTGCATGTGTTGCTGCCTATCTGCAAGCGTTTCTTACCTGAAGGGGCACTGAGGAATGCTTTCATTCACAGCTGCAGAACTTGGAGATATGCAGGTGCTCCAGCAGGAATTTCAGATCTGCAAAAGTTCTAGCAGATTTGTAATATCAAGGAAAAACCCCTATGAGGAAATATTTGCAGATTGAATTGCTTTTCATTTTTAACAGTGGTTTCAACACCTTACTGACCCAAGTGTTCCCAAATCTTTTACTGCACAAAGCCCTGCCTGGGCTCAAGGTTCAAGTATCATCCTTTGCCAGTCAGTGCTGCAGCTTCACCTCTTCTTTATCAATCCTGGCACAAGCTAAACTGGGAATTGTTCTTGTTGACATTTTGCAATTGTTTATTTCAAGTGGTCTGTTTGTTTGTTTTGGTTAAGTCACCTTTCAAGTAGGTGAATGCACTGCATTTGACCAAGCTCACCCTTGTATCACCAGCACTGGCACTGGGAGAAGAGCAGCAAACCACACTGGAGGTGGGACTGCTGCTAGGAATGATGTAAACTGAGAGATGAAAACAGTGATCCTGAAATAGTATGGGCTCCTTTGCAGCCCCAGTAGGACGCTACCACACAGCATTATTCAGCTCACCACAAACTTCCTCACTGTGAATGTCATGGCAAGGTGGTGATCTGACTCCAGTAGCTGCCATACCTCTGGTTCTCCTGGCCTAAATCTGGGGAAATTTGGCAATAAGGAAGGGATTCTTCCCATGGGCTCCAGACAAGGATACCATCAGCAGGTTGGGGATAGGATGAGGACACTCAAGATATGGCATCCCCAGCAGAATGGGCAGACTGCATGTGGAAGAGCAGGGTGAGAAGTGCCAACAGTGACTTGATCATGAAATAACGCAAAGTTAATCATAATAACTTCATAATTCAGCAGTGCTGCTTCCAGCAGCAGAACACATGACTGCATTAGAGTATGCAGAGCCACCCCAGTATGTATGTATGACCCCACCCTACGCAAGAGATAAGGTGGAACTTTAGCACCTTCTGTTGGCAAAACAATAGGTCCTGCAACAAAAACTATGCCCCCAAGACCCTTGGGAGACTGATACTGTTTTGCATTACAAAATGTTCTTTAGTATCTTAAAGGAAATTTTAGCATTAGCAAGTTCTAAAACTGTACAAACATGAATGAAAAGATTTATTAAAACGTTTCAGTGTAAATACAAAGAATATTCTGCCATTCATTAAAGGATCACACATAGAGAACTACTGCTGTACTCCAAGATATAGGCAGGGTAAATCTGGAGCTTCTCAAAGATGACAAAGATGGAAGGGTTTTCCGGGTTATCCACACAGCTGTCATAAAGTCTGTTGCGATTGTTTGGTGTGGGTGGAGGACGAAGGTATTCAGAGTCCCCTCGAACATATTTCCCAACAAGGACCTGAGCTACAAACATGCTGTAGCGGCTGATCCTAGAGGAACAGTACTCATGAGAATAACTGGCATCTCTGGCGAAGTAGCTTCCTAGGACCAGGAAAAGCCACAGGTAAGAGAATACATCAACCAAGGAACGAACATCTGCTATCAGCTCTTTGGCAGCCAGTGATCCAACAGCCCCAAATAGCTCTGAACATATCCTTGCCAAGTGTTTTCATGTGGGCTTTTTTAAAAGCAGACAGATGCTAGCCATATTTCTCCATCAATATCTCTGTCCCACCTGTCTAAAAGCTTTGTCAAACAGCAGATACTTGAGGCAAAGAGGAACGTTTTCTGTCCCTCCTGAAGGCTGCTGACACAGCTTGCAGAGATGCAGATCTGAACAGATGAGATTGCACTAAGGGCAGGTGTGTGGCATCTGGGACAGCCACGTCACACAGACTGGTCACATGTGCAGCCTGTTGTGCTGTGCCACGAACTCCCTCCCACCAAGTCTGCCATTGCCTATGGAGTCCCCACTGCAGCTGGGAGTGGGTCCATGGTAGGACTACATGAGTTGACATGACTGCTCTCACCAATAGCAGAAACAGCTTTGTGCTGCTTCACCAACAAAAGAAAGTCTAAAGAAATAGGATAAGTAGAAAACACAGCTCGTGCTGAGCTTTTCCCCGAGTTCTAGAAACACCCTAAGAATTTCTATGTAAGTCCAGCTCATGTTCTTGTACCTTTTCCATACATTGTCCCATGAGTGCCACAGATCCTCCAGTCAAAATTCTGCTCACAGATGGCTGGCACATGAGATGCGTTTGTCCCGTGGAACAGAAGCCGCTCATCCACCCAGTTTGATTTGTGGAGCTTCTTCATGTGCTCCTTCTGCCTAGTGACAAAAAATGAATGCCATTTTGCCCTGATTTAAATGAGGACAACTTCCCAACCCAACTCCTCATACTTTGGGGTTGTGGAGGAAGAGTGACACAAACCACTGTCAGTGGGGATACTGCCTGCTGTGCCCTCCTGTTGGTACTTTGCAGCACAGCTGGCTCCTTACAGCAAAACAGAAATTTCTCATATCATCGTGGACCATGTTGCATACAGCTTCACATATCACATTAGAGAATAAAGAGACAAACATCTCTCAGGAGGGAATTGTTCCCAGTTCCCAGGTTTTATAATCCTGAATGAATGAGTATTGTTATGAAATGAACAGCATGAAGCCACAGTAAAAACTGTGTAAACTCTACCTCTGGCTTTATCACATAAACAAAAATATATTTTTTTAAGCCCCATGAGAAGAATAAATTTGAGATTCCACAACTCAGTCACAGTGAAGGAAAATAAATTTCTTTTTGAATAACATTAGCAAACACACATAGGAGTGTGGAGGCAGTGACAAGTGAGGGATTCTCAATAACACGCCCAGACAGCAAGAAGCCCCAGTCCCTGCCAAGGGGCCCTTAGGGGCTGGGGTGACACCTAGCACCACAAGCAATGGAAAGGTTCTGGGGCATGGCTCGTTGACTGAGGTGGGTACTCCCTTTAGGAGTATAGAACTTATTATGGGATGCAGGGAAAGGGCATATGATTTGGGGATTACACGTATAGCAAGACAGATGGAAAAGGAGATAAAGAAGGCCCCTAATCATGCATGGACAAGTGACTGACTTGTCTGTAGGGTTGTCTAGCCATGCCCTGTGCCTGATCCATGCAGTCTGACCTATCTCTTCATCAGACTTCATTTCTAGCTCATATGCTGGGTGGTGAACTCTACAGCCAGTGTGCTGGAGTGCATATGAAGGATCTCAGTGCTGCAATTGGACTGGAGCCTCAGGGTAACAGCAAGTGAAGCAAGGAAGGTTATGCATGTCAGTGCATGATTGCTAGTGAATGTCAAGCTGGACAGCCAGAGAGGAGAGCAAGTGACCTGGGACATGGGTATCAGAGCAGTCATATCTCTGGGCCAGGTGCTAGAGAGAACAGTTTCTAGCTTGCCTACCAGAGGAACAATGAGGCTCAGGAAAACTACTTGATGGCAGCACAAAGTATAGGGGTCTGATGAGAGATCCATTTGTACATGTATATCTGTGTGCAGAATGCAGCTGGAGATGGGAGGATCCCAGGGCTAGCACTCCCTAGGCTGAGTGTCTAAGTCCAGCTCCTGAAGAGACATGTACAGGTGTGTGCTTGTATCTGTTTTCCACCAACAGGCTTTCATCCAGATTAGCCAGAGAAGGGAACAGCATGACATTGTTGGCACTATTTATCATTTCTTGAGTGCTGTGCTGTCTGTGTTGATTTTTTGTTCATCTATATGTATATATATAAAAGCCCATTTTGTGCGTACACACGTGTTTGTGCTTATGCACCTATTGTGAAACTCACTACCAGCAGGATCTTTGCACACAGAAACGTGGCAATCGAACCTCTGCTGGGCTACTGCCTTTGGCAACTCCTATCACAGACTGTGGATAACAGTAGATCAGGAAACACCCACACGCTCTGCTACCATCGGAATAATGAAACAAAATAGAAACAAACCACTGAAAAATTTGCCAAAGGGTTGGGTTCTGGATCCTCTGCAGCCGGCAGATGCTGTAGTCTTTCATCGTCTTCTGAAACAGACTCTCAATTCTTTTATATTCACTGGAAGTGTTGCCAACATCTACCAACTGAAAAATTCAAAAAGACCAGAAATGAGGTATTTCTGATAGTAACAACTCCCAGTCCTTCCAAAGGAGTTATCAACTTGCTCACATTAAAAGGAAAACCCTACCAATTAAAATCGTTAGCTTCTCCTGTCTTTCCAATCAAATATTCTATCCCCACTTTCACTCTCTCTTGCCAGACTGGAAGCACAGGCACTGAGGTGCTGCTGCACAAGGAAATGATTGCAATCTAACACAAGCTTCCCTCAGTGTACACACTTCTTATGCATCCAGATTATTTCTACTTCAAAGTATCCTAGAGCTGAAATGCACAGCAGTATCCAAGGTGGAGACGAGTGAATATCAGCTCCACCTTAATTTGATACCTGAGGTCCTTCTAGATACTTCCTTACAGGTCCGGCTCTAATTTTACCACAGCAAATGACATTTGGTTCAAAGAGACCAAGAAACGTAGACCAATAAATGGACACAATTCACCCACTCCACTGGAGATGTGAAAACTCATACCTTGTACCCAATTTCAGGCAGTGCTGATTGGTCCCATTCTGGAGGATAAAGTGAACATGATGGTTCTGTATGCAGGCTGTGAAAAAGAAGAAAGAGCAAGTCAATCCACAACTCTTCTCACCAAATCTCCTTTCTGGAAAATGCGCCTAGCTCTACAGCAGCTTTCAGGCTTCTCTGGATTCTCTTTTTTTCTTTTTTTTTCCAACCTTCCAGTTGCCTTTCTCTCCAGTTTGAATTTCCATTCACATCCTAGTGATGTTAATGAATTTCTTGGCAGGCATTTGTAGGAGACCTTTGGTCAAGAATTACCGTAGTTTATACGACTGCTCTCCAATAGACCTCTATGTGAGCTGCTTGAACTTCTAGTGAGCTGGGATGAGAGCCCTCTCCCTCCAGGTGCCTACTCATCTTAAAGTCACTGGCCAGACAAGCAGCCCACTTTCCCTGTCTCCAGGATCAGCCTGGCAGAGGACATGGGTGGGCAGTAATGTCCCCATGCACTGCTGCATTAGTTAGTCCTTAATAACTTCCAACGCAAGTCTTCAATCATCCACCTGGCATGAATGTTTTGCCCCAGGCAATAGGGGCATTACCATCTACTCAGAAGTTCTAGTTTGCCTTATTTTTAAATCAGCCAGCCTTTGGTTGAACCAGCCCTTAAATTGAACCCATGGGTTCTTATGCACTGCCTGCCAGTAAGTTTCTGGAAGTCAAGATAGATCTTTTTGAAATAAAGTAATAGCACCACTAACTTTTAAAGCAAACATGCCCAAATGCTGTCAGACCAAACTTCTATGAAAATACGAACTAAAAATGATTGCATCCAGGACACTTCATTTACAGGAATTTCTTCTATTTTATTTAATATTTCAGCTTTCCAGGAAATGGCATCTATCTGCTCCACAGTCTCGGGACTGGCACTCCCCTGTTCCTGCCCTGTGTATGGTTTAGCACTGTTGAGCTACAAGTCAAGGAACAAAAATTCCTGGCACAGTTGTGTCAGCCCTATATGATCTTGCTCTCACAGAAGGAACAAATCTACCCTAGAGGTCTCCAGTCTCCAATGGCTGCCAGGATTGCCACCAAACATCCCTCACGCACATTTCACAGAAGTATTGCATAATTTACAAATAATGTCACAGCAAAAATTAATGTTAAACCAGTCAGCAAATTTCATTTCTAAAAAGGAATTTAAGAAATCTAAAACTGAATTCTAGAGAGAAAAGAGGGATTTCTTAGTAGAAAAATGCCATCATCTAACATCTCCATTAAATAATGCAAGTATAGTACCTTTTGTCCTGCTCACGTCGAGAGTACAAATTTTTTGGCAGCCGCATAACTTTTCTTTGAGTTGCATAGACCACATTTCTTTGGACCATGTCTTGAAAGAAAAACACAATGACTCACTACTATGCAATTTATTATCCAGGGAATGCATGTAGGAAAAGTTTTGAAAGCAGGTAGCCCAGGATGGCTGCAGGGTGACATTCTTGCTATCACATTCACACCATTCCCTACTTAATAGTTTGAGACCGTTCCCACTTGGGCAGCTTCTGCTTGGAGATCACCAAGGTCAACAGCCTGTTAGTGTAGGCTGTGAAGCTGAAAGGCAACCACCAACTACTGCACCTGCAGATGTACTCACACCTGGGCTGCCAGCCAGAGAAAACCACATCTGATGTCTGGCCTGCAGCAGGGAAGGGTTTTCAATGTGATGGAGTCCCTAAGCCTAACTTTCCTGGCAGTACAGGATTGTTACTTGGTGCTTAGAGGAAAGCCTGTCTTTTGTTTCTCATCCTGTAACAGTATCACAGAGCACACGCAGTGTGACATTGCTAACCAGCCATTGTTTCTTCCTTCAAACGTCACACTTTCTATTCATGCCAGGAAACAGATTTTAATTTTCGAAACTAACAGAAACCTTAAAATGGTTAAAAAAATACAAATAAATTAGAAACAGATAAGAATTTTTCCATTCTCTTTCTCTGTAACTAGCCCATAATTTTCCTTTGCTGCACTGTGTGTTTTCTCATAACTAGTTTATGTCTACTAGAGCTTGCTTCACCATTTGACTTCTCTGATCTTTTTTTTTTCCTTTCTTGTTTCCTCTTCAGTTATATAAACCCAAATGCCTAAGTCAAATACCATGAAGTATTTTATTTCAGTTCTTGTTCTCAATATACAGCATCGACTACAGATGCGGAAATCTAGAAGTTTGATCAGAGAATCTCAGAACTACAGAGAAAAGTACATAATGTTCAAGCTCTGCTTGGAGAGAACTGATAAGAGGAAAAAAGACATGTTCCAAGAAATCCGGATACCCACAGGTTGACAATTCTTTGTATGAAAAAGGCTACCTTAGAGTCAGCAACGCAGTGTAATGAATATTAAGCAAAGAAGTACTTTACCTTTGAAGTTTAATTCATATATCTGAGAACCAGCACAAAATGTCAGAGTGCCTCTCTGGTCAGCTAGAAATGCCTCCTCCAGATCTGCAGAATTTACCGTGGCATGGGGGTAAATCGGGTGCTACAGATAGAACAAGGAAATTACACACGTTAGAAATAAGCCTGCGGTGTAAGTGGCACTGTGGGGACATACCAGTTTTTCCTCAGGTCCCTGTGATGAGATGCTGTGTGGAACTAGTCTCAAAGACTTCCAGCATTTTGTTCTTTGGGGAAGGTACCTCCCAGAGAACAACTGCTTGATACAACAGCAACCGAAGTGTTTACCTTGTGAGGTCTGCTTCAGCCTGCATCATCTCTGGAAAATACGCCCATTTCTAAAGGCAGTCCTTTGGAAGCTTTCACAGAGACTCAGTACTGCTTTGATGGATGCTTTGTAAGATAAATCCACCAGGGCATCAAAGCAGCACTACAATGGCACCAGCAGGACATGTAAAACACATCAGCTGCCAAACAATATGTCCTAAGCAACTCTCCAAAGATGCCTGAGCAGGAGCTTTCAGCATCAAACCATGGATCTCACCTCTTTCCCATATTCAATCCACTGCCCCAAGTCATCAAGCCAATACCAGGCATACGCCATTCTGAGGATGAACAGAAGGGTCTGAAGGCACCAGAAGCACAGGAGAACTGGTCAGTGCCTGGCTGCGTTCTCACCCCTAGCACAGAAAGAGAAATCCAGAGTCAGTCTTTCCCAAAGCTGTCAACCTATACAGTATCCTTGCTGATCTCAGAAGCCTAATGACATCTCAGAAAAGGAGACATCTTGGGCTGGGAAGTGCGGAATCAAGGAAATTAATCTATTTTACAGGCTTTACATCATATTTGACATGTCACGTATCAGAGGAATGACCCTGAGTTCTGTGGCTTGGGTCACCATTTTTTCTCTAAAATGTGTATTAGGAGAAAACACGACTGGCGCAATTAACTTGGTTTCTTAGATGAAGGTCAGCAGTGCCACCTGGATAACAGCAACAAGACAGTTGTTAAGCAGAAATCCCACTGCCTTCAGAAAGCACCAGCAGCACCACTCCTCCTTCTCTGATGAGGAAAGAAAAGGGGCTGTGTGAGGATAGGGGCCCCAGTGAGGAGAGGCTGGGCTTCCCCATGCCAGACACAGCTTGCTGTGGGATGAGACATTCACAATTTCTCTGGGCAGCCTGTACTGGTGCTTTGCTACACTCTGAGTGAATACTTTTTCCTAGAATTTCTCCACGTCAGTTCAAAGTGCCCGCCCCATGCTCCACCTTAAGATATGCCACCTCTGAGGACAGAACAGGTGGCCACCAGCAATTCAAATACAAATTTCCCTTTGCTTTTTCTCTCTCCTCCTCCTTCGGTTGTCCCAGCTTTGGATTGCAGCCCAGCTAACATTTTTCTATGCTCCTGCATCATGACCTCATTGCAGGGCGCACAAATGCAGCCAAGCCAGTTGCCCACCTGCCTGCTGTGGAGTTTGCAAGGGCCTGTGGTGGAGATGCTCACAGCAGCCCAAGGAATTTCAACAGGCTGTGCAAGGGGAAATGGGAAATGGTCATTCATCTGATTCTGACATCCTTCATGCTTTGGCAGGGATCGGGCTATTCAAAGCAGGCTAATCAAGGGAAAACAAACAAGGAGTTCCCTTCTAGGGTTGGTTGCAGTACAAAGGCCCATGAACAAAGGCCTGGCAGCCCCTTGGCCTGCCAGAACAAAAAGCAAGGAAGGACACAAGTCCCCTTCCCAGCCTTAGCTTGTTCCACCGCTGTCTTCAGACTGTTGTGCTCTTTATACTGAGTAACACTAGCCAGGCTTTTCCTAGAAAAACGCTCCCAATTCATTTTCTTTCAAACCCCATTGCAGGACATTCATGAGATCCAATGCTCCTGGGAGCTTTTTTTGGATGCCTTCACCCCTTCTTTCCCCTCTGCACAGCGGTATGCTGCTGCCGTGGCAGAACTGTGAGTTCTTGGATAGAGTGTGGGATTTGGAGGGGGTGGAGAAGGAACAGAGGAAAATGGGCAAGGAGGCTGGGAAGAATCAGATGAAGTTTCCAGCAGCTCTTCCCCCTGCTCCCCCCATCCGTGTTCCCTCTCCCCCTACTCCACAGACCACTGCTACCCCTGCATAGATCCGGGACCCCTGCTCTGCTCTAACCCCACCCTCTCTACAAAAGGGTGCACTTCAGTCCCGCTTTCACTTTCACTTCCCAATGCTTGTGCTCCCGGACAGTTTTTTTTTCCACTCAGCAGCTAACCCCAAGGAGAAAGAAATGAAGGTAAAGTTCTTAATATAGCAGACAGACATATTTCATTGTCAGGATTCAGTGTCCTCCACCTTTTGCCAAAGATGTCACTATCTGCTCTTGTGTAACAGATACCCCATAAATTTGCCTTCACGTCAGTGCTGCAATAGCCTGCACAGATGAAAAGCAACCTCACACCACCTTCCACATCGCCCCCGCTCTCAGAACGGAGGTATTAATGAAGACAACCATGGTTTATGGCCTGACTAACAGCAAGCAGGTGTCCTTCCAGCGGAGCCAAAAGCAAAACCTACAAACTGTGAAATCCCCAACTTCCTCCGCCTCCCTCCCCAGCTTGGCTGCATCCCAGGAGAGGTGTCAGAGCCCCATGCGTGCTGCCTCCCCAGAGTCCCCTACTCACGGTGCTGTCAGCAGGCTGCCCATCCACTTCCCATGACGGATGGGTGTCAGTCACGTGCCTATGCGTCACCACAGCCCTCTGACCCCTATGTCCACGTGGAAGAGGACCCTAACACGCAGTGAGATCTTCAGAAATAAAATACAAGTGGCCAACTGGAGTGCCGCTGCCGGATGTCAGGGATGCCTTCCCACTAGCCCAGGGCCCATTAAGGAGTGGAGCTAAGCAGCATTTCCTTCTGGTTATTGCGCCATACTCGCGCGCATCTGCCAGGCATGAGCAGAACGGCCAGGCGGAGCTAATGGTTCTGGCAGGCGTATCAGTAAAGTCAACATCCCTGTGAGCCGGCATAGCTTGTCCTTTTTGCTTAACTTCTCACACTGGGCACCAATGCCTGACTTGCACCTTTTCCCTCCTGCCCCTCATGTGGCCAGGAACGCTCCAGATCTTCTCCTGCCATTCAGCTTCTGCTGATAATCATTCTTTGAAAACCCAAAGCTGCCACTGCCTTGCAAAGCGAAACCCCCATCTCAATGCATGAAGTGGGAACACCCCTCAGCGTGCACCTGGGCTGGTAAATGCAGTAGGCAGAGTTGCACAGACAGACCCACAAAATGCAGAGCAAGCACAGGACTCTGCAGTGCAGGGCTGAATCAGCCCACACTGAGCTACTTACTCTCTTTTTTAATCCTTTACCTTCAAATCAGAGCCATTCTCTGCTGAAATCGGAGCAGGATGAGGTTTCCTATCTGATTTGCAGCCCCACGGAAGACTGACAGCGTTTCCCAGAAGAGCTGTGAAGCATAAAGCTTAACGATAGGTCAAGCAGTACTAACCACATAAAATACTTGCATCTGAGTAGGTTTGTTTTAGTTGCACAAATTATGTTCAGTTGAATTGCCCAGAACAGTTTCATCCTCTGATAATCTGGTCAGACCAGATCGGCGGTGACAGAACCATAGAGAGCTCAGTTCTTGTTTCTGGAAAGGCTGCCTCCTGAGTGTTCTTTATAAACACAGGATAAAAAAAGAAACAGAGCTGTGAGTGTGAAGCTGAACCTTGCTTCTTCCCCATCCGGCCCTTTCTGACTGCCTTTTGACCTCTCATATCATATCTGCTTCTCATCTCCATAGTTGTGCAACTCTTATGCTCTCTTTGACTGATGAGATTTATCAGCTCAGATCCCTCAGGTTCATTTCTGCATATGGGAATTCTCTGCTAAAATACTCTTCTGAACCGAAGCCAAGAGTTTCAGCAGACAGCGATACCAGCTCTAGGAAAAACATTCTGCTTGGTACAGAATGTTTACATAGCTTTCTGGGGACAGCATCCTCCATAAAACAAACAAGGTGCTACAAGTTGGAGGCATACGTTCACTGTAAGCCGGTACATTGTGACATTGTATTTTCCCTTTGTATCACTTTTAATTGCAATGGATGGCTGCGGGGCTGTTGAACCTCTGATTTCTGCTGTCACTCTAATAGTGACACCAGAACTGTCTACATTTCCAGGGTTTGACAAGTCTCTGAACAGACATCCCATGGCTCTGCCTTTTCCTGCATGCTTAGCAGAGGCACCCACACGTGGTTTCTCTGCGTTTGTGAAATTATTTATCACGCACATGAAAAAAGCACAGTCTTTATCTTCTCTCCACAAGTTTCAAGTCTCGTTGCTTTTGCAGAGGAAACAGACCACAAAAAAAAAAAAAAAAAAAAAAAAAAAAAAAGTGATGTTTCACATTTCTAAGTGTATTTCTGTAGATACAAATCAGCTCTGTCACAGCTTCAGACCACTCCAAGGTTTGGTGTGCAAGTACTGATGCTACAGTGCAAGCTTACAGTATGAGAACAGACTGACAGCACCTCATGATGCAGGAAAATCCCCCAAATCTCATTGCAAACCACACTGCCACTTGAAGGCAGCACCTTCTTCCCTAGCTGTGATGGTTTCCCCAGTAATTCCTGTTGTACATTAACTTGTCAGAGGGGGAGGATGAGCCCCGTAACCATGGTGTTCCTCTCTCAGCTCTGTTTCACACAATAACAGGAAATGGTCTCAACAAGAAAAGTAATTCTAAGTTGCTTTGGAAGAAAATAAAAAGGGGGGGTAAGGGGGGACGGGAAGGAAAGAAAAAAAGTGATTTTTTTAAAATGGAAAAAGAAAAAAAAGGAAAAAGAAGAGGAAGAAGAAGAAAAAGAAGAAAAGGAAGAAAAAAAACAAAGCCTTTATTTATTTCTAGTCCTTGACTGTGCATTTTACATGTTTTGGTAAATAAATGCTACTTTGGCATTACTCTAAGTGCATGAATGCTTGGTAGATTACAAATGCTTCACATTCTGCTCTTGCTCTCTCCAGGGCCATCAGATGAGGCTCAGGATGCTGCTTCCAATCTTCTAGGAAAAGATTAACACTTAAGTGATTGGAAATAGCTAATTGTGCTTTTTATCTCTTTAACTTCACAACATTCATAATGTAAACCGAAGTAATTCAACAACAGAAACCTTTCTGATGCCAGTAGTTCAAATGAGCATTTCTGTATTGATTCAGCAAGTCTTTGGTTGTAGATCTGAAGTTGAAGCTCAGACCTGAAGTCTTTCATGTCTTCCGACAGCACCAAAAGGTACACTTCATAAGGAATCTGCCCACGACTCATTACTGCTCTTGTCTAACAAAAGGATAATCATATTTCACTGCTGTTGGGACAAAAGCTGAATTTCCAGCTTCACTGGTGGTACCAGGTGAGGTGGGGTCCTTGGGAAAGAATCAAAGCCTATTCTGAACTCTGCTTTGGGGTAGTTAGCTATTTTTTTAATATACATTTTTTACTGTGTCAGTACATTTTGAAATATCATTTCAAAGCAATAAAATTCAAAATTGAAGCATTATTTTGAAGCAAAATAGAGTTATTTCACTTACACAACAATAAATAAAGCATTCTGAGTTTTCTTAGCTCGTTATTTGAATTTCAAATGCTTTTCAAATATCTTCCCACTAACCCAAATCTTTGCTTCCTGGTGAGTGAAGTTTTATCCTCCCCACCTCCTGCTTTCATCCACATGTACTTCATCTCCGGTTTGCACTCCTTGCCCATTTCCCTCTATAATCTTTCCCCACAGCATCATTCCACATGGTGCTACAGATTTCATAGAATAATAGAACCATAGAATGGCTTGGGTTGGAGGAGACCCTTAAAGGTCATCTAGTCCAATGCCGCTGCAGTGAACAGGGACACCGACAGTGAGATCAGATTGCTCAGAGCCCCGTTCAGCCTGACCTAGACTTCAGTTTAAATCCTGTGCTTGACTTCCATGTAGCCAGATTCTAGTTCTGCTGTAGGCTCTCTATTTGCCAAGTTAGGAAATTAAAAAATAATATATAATTTGCTGAGGATTGGGCTAGACTGCAGAATCTGGATCTTTGTTTCAAAGACACTCTGAAAGCAAGGAAAGCTTATTTCAGAGAAGTAGATTGTTCTGCTAAAAAAGAAAAGGGCTGAAGCAACTGTGACTTGCTCATCAGATCCCAAATGGCAAGCTTAGGGCTGCTTGCAGCAAGGTTTTGGCTCAGGCTCATCCTCATTTGCAGTGATTAAATGAATAAGAGCATGGCTTGTGTTTGGAAGGATCAAAGGCATCAGGCGTGTAGCAAGTAGATTATATCTTCTCCTGTAAGTTCTGATGGTTTCCTCAGTATGTCTTGATTTCTTGTTGGACTACTTCCAACAGTAGCTGCAGTTTGTGTGTAAGATAATCTGAAGGGGGGAAAAAAAAAGAAAGTTTAATCTGGGCAATATCCTACGCTATGGATAAAAATCAGAAGAACACTGGCATAGGATGGATGGAGCGTTTTATGTTAGCAGATGACTGAATCTGTTGGTGTTTTTTTTTTTGCTGTATGTTTTTTTCTGTTCACTAGTTACCAATATATCTCGACCCAACACCAAATCAAAAGAATTCAAGATTCATAATTGAAATTATAAGTTAAAATCGAAACCAGGCTCTTGTTTTAGAATAAATCACTGTTCTTGTGCCACCAGAGCTACACCTAAGGTAAACCTGTGCCATGTACTGCATGGGGAGGAAAGGTACTTCATTTCCACACCTACATCTACACCCAAACCCATACCATTAAATACATGGCCCCCCCACCAGGCAGCCTGCACCATCTTTTCCCACCACTCCCCTCCCCAGCCTTTCAGGAAATGTTTGTGCATGGGGCTCCAGTGCCTGCTCCTCCCTCACTCTCTCCACATCAGCATTTGATCTTTTGTTCTGTTTCATCCAAATTTGATAGAAATACTGATCCCACAGATATGATGAAGATATGACAGTGCCAATCTGCTTGGATCTAGACCTCAACCCTATCTTTTCTAAAAAGATTAGGCTGGATTATTAGTACGTTCCCAAGCAACCACCCTACCCCTGAGTGTGCTTAGGTCAAGAACACTGAAACCCAAGAGCATACTTACAGAGCAGTCTGTGGCAGCGATTTGACATTTTCCTATGGATTACGAGGTAGTAGACTGGAAAGCCACTTAAAACCATGGTGCATCCAATGCTAATGTTTACAGGGTCTGAGTAGATAGACATTGCTACTGTGAAGAGGCAGATGATGGTAAAAGAGACTGGAACAAACAGGGGGACCTGGGGAAAAGAGCAAAGGCAAAACTGATCATACCAGCCAGCACAAGCTATAATCGTGTATCCATTTTAAAGAAGAAGAGAAAAGTCTGTCCTGCACGCTATGTCTATACAATCCGTTGTGAACGAGTAGGATGCAGAGAACAAAAATGTTCTCATGCCAGCCTTGGAGCCCAGAGTGCCCTGCAAGGTGCATGCCTCCCTCCATGTGCACAGACAGAAGCTTCACCTCACTTGCAACCACACACCATGCTGGGGAGAAGTCAACTGCAGCAGCTCGTTCTATGTACAGCATGTGTGCATGTGCATACACACACCCCTAAACTTGTCACCTGTGGCAACTGCTGATGGAAATTCTGATGCCAAGAGCAAAATCCCTTTGAAACAATCCAATCTTTGGTCATAACACTTGTGACTCACTTTGAGCTGCCTCCAGCCTGCCTGAGGCCTATGGCAACCAACACAGGATAAACCAGCTCTGCAGCACCTGTGCCAAGAATGCGGTTTTCAGTGACAGTCTGCTGAAAGACCAGAACAGCACTCAGTGCTTCAGCCTCATTCTTTTGGGTGAGTCAATTCGTCTGTGTTATTTGGAGGGCAAAACTGAAGTAAGAAGCCATGAAACATTTCCTTCTTCTTTAGATCTGACCTCAGCCAAATTACTCCTCACCACATCTGATAAAGGAGCTGCTGACCTCACCTAGGGTGACAATCTCTTTTCTTGTAACACAGATCATATTTTGGATGCTGACCATACTAAGCTGGGGGAGATAGTTGCTCTAGTGATGGCAGCTGTCCAACCACCAAACTTGCATGCTCTCACTGACTTTCCAGCCTGAGTATCCTTTGCCAGCATCTCCTACGTGCACGTATTCACACAGCACATCTGTCTGAGAGATGCATGAGGGAACTGCTCTCTCCCCTTGCTGGTGTTTTCTTACCATTTTCAACTAAAAATCTGCAGGAGAAAAGTACCAGCACAATCTCTTATATTTGTCTTTGATTATTTGTTCTCTGCAAGCAAACTGCTGTTGGACGAAGAAATGTTTCTGACCACTGGAGAGCAGCACATGCACACATCACATCCGCGCTGTTCTTTGCTCTTGCAGATAACCATACTTCGGGTTTGAGGTGGGTCTAAAAAATGGGGAGAGAGAGGAAGAGACCACCAAGCTGACTAAAATGCCATCATCTTCCTCACTCCCGTTCTTAGGAATTATTAAAAACCTAAAGCTCTATCTCAAGGGGATTTTCAGAAAGTAAAAGCATCACCAGTGCTACTCAGTAATACATTTCCCTCAAGAATACTATTTTAAAAGAAAAAAAATCAAACTTATTAAAAATCTGAGTCTGGGTGACTGCATGAGCCAGCCAGTCAGCAAGCTCGAAAGCCTCAAGGTCTCTACTAAATACGCTGTCTCCAGTAAACACCAAGAAGAACTACCCCAATTCTGCATCAGGCCCCACTCAGCTTGGGGAGGAGCCCTGGGAGTGGTGGAAAGTGCTTCTTTTCCCCGAGTTTCTGGCTGATCAGCTGCCCAGTGCCTGTGGCCTCAGAGGTCTCCTCTCCTCTGCAGGAACTGGCTGGAGGCAGTGTGCAGGCGTGACTGGAGAGGGGAACACATTGTGCATGGCCCCAGCCAAATGCTGCCTGCAGATTATCTGGCAGTGGGAGAGTTGCCTTGAGCAGGGGCTCTAAAAGCCATGCCAGCTTTCGGGACCGAGCACTCCCCACGAGCAGGACCCCAGCGGCCAGCAAAAAGGTCCAGGAATGGAGAAAGGGGACAGGGCATCCTCCAGCTTCCCCTTGAGGAGTGGGAAACTGAACTCCTTTGGCTACTCTCTTCCCCTCTGTCCACTTCTAATGCTTTTCATTTCTTATGGCCACAGGTTTCATGCATTCCAAATGTTCTGGAGCTGTGCACATGGAAGCACCATGCATGAGGCAGTTTCTGAAACCCCTCAGGCTGCCTGTACTTGTAGTTCAGACAATATCCCATAGAGGCTGTGTGTGGCAGGGGACTCAGCGAGCTGTGCTCAAGCTGTTTAACACTGTACGATACTTTTGTACCGGGAGATGATTTCCTATGTCAGGTTTGCTCCAATCTTCCATCTGGCAATGCTCTTTTCCCCATGACACATTCCGCTTCTCACTAGGGCTAAGACATACCTGATACTGACATCACATCCAGGCAAAGGTCCTTCCCTGCAGCCTCAGAGAGGAGAGCATGAGAACTGCCTTCTGCAGTTCCCAGCCTGATACCTTGTCCCCTGGAGCTAGCTGTCACTCTGCAGCTGCAACTGGTAGCCCCATGTAGAACTGGTTTGAATAGAATTTACCACATCTGTTGTTTGGGCACATCAATCAACCTTGGGATTTTCCTTACAGAGAAATAGGCATTTAGAGCCCTTGGAGCCTAAAGGCAATCACAGCCACATAATGCTCTAAGAGAGAAAAATGACAGGCATGTGTCCAGGCTGTTAGACACAAACCATGAATTACCTTGAATGGGCTTTGCAGCTCCGGGTGACGGTAGCGATGGACAATGAGCCCAAGAGTGGCTAATCCTATGAAGAGCCATCGGGAGAAGCTGAAGAAGTTCAGTAGATGGTAGATATCTCCAATACACACCATGGCAGTAACCAAAGGGAACTGAGCATTGTGAAGATTAAATATGGTCAATTAAACCTTGCTATGGTCCTCAAACAGGGAAGGGTGATACGGGTCATCTCCCCCACCCCCCTGCAATCACAGGTAGCTACTTCACAGACCCAACATTTCAGAGGTCAACAAACATGTTGCAAAGCACTCTCACAGACTGAAGAGTGCTGATCAAAGTTCTAAATACAAAATTATGGTGCTACAGAAAGGATGGAGACCAACAGCATTGTTGGTGCTCTATGGCCTAGGCAGGGCAATTCAAACATGCCCAAAGGCCTGTGGTACAAAGGCTTCACACAGAAGTATTTGCTAAGCTTCTAACAGGTCAACTAAGATGCAGAGGCAGTGTTATGATGGACCACTGCAGGGAAAAAAAGATGAATGGGAAGGGAGGAAGAACCCAAATCTGAGAGCCTCTCCACAAATGTGCACTTCTAGCATTTCCACTAACCTAGGAATTTCAGTTTTTCAAGTAACCGAAGGCTGGCCGAGAAATTCCCATAGAAAATATCAGGCAGCAATGGTAGGGACAGTACTTTGAAAGAATATGGCCAAGACAAAAGGGTGGAGACTTTGAGACAGTGGGTTTGAGTGTTACTACTGACATGAGAGGACTTGCTTTTTTGCAAGCTGACAGTGTCTCAACACCCTTTAAAACTTTTCAGATTCTCCGGGCTCTGCAGATGGCCATGTGAAACAAGAAAGCCAAGACTGCAAGAAGTGAGATAGGCAGATCTCCTTACCATAAGCATGACAGCAGGAAGGGGTGTATGTCTTCGAATGTGGATCATGGAGAAGAGAGGAGGCCACTGCCCTTCTCTGGAGGCCACAAACAGTGTCCTAGGAAAAGACAGGGAGCTCTATGCATCAGCATCCCACATCTGCACTAGAAATGAAAAGATCAGCAGCTGGACTGATCTCGTCATCACAAGTCTGCTCTTTAAGGCCACAGTTCTCCATTTAGCATCACTTTTCAGTGGATTTGGGAAAAAAATCTCCAAAGATTTCCATACTTCTTCAAGGACCATTTATCTCGGCATGATGCAGAGCCCACTACTGGTAGTGTCTCTGTGGTAACAGTTAGTAGTGACCTTTAGTTGAGCACAGCATGAAAATAAATGTGTTGAGGCTGGAAGCAGAAACAAGCCAGTAGGAGGTGGAGGGGCCACAAACCTCAAGTCTTTAGAAGAGAGGTTGGCAAGTTCATGGAGAGGGGTTGTCAGTCCTGATGCTCATCCCAAAAGGAGACTAGGCTTAAGATCAAGGAAAGCCTGCTTGGCTGTGCGACAGCAGCAGCTATGTGCCAGTGATAATATATATGTCTCTGTCTATAAATATAAACTACATAGAGATATACATAAACTAGAGAGAGAGAGAAATAAAGCCCAAGTTCCTCAAAGAGCAGAGCAAGTCTCTTGCCAGCTGTTAGAAAGTAGTTTTGTGTATTACAAAGATGACAGCTACAAACAGGGCAAGCTACAAAACAACAGCAGAGAGCTCCTTGCCTCCATTCCTCTCCTGAATTGTGAAAGGGTAATTAAGGAGAAAGCATTGCATTTTATAAACTTAATATCCACAAACACACCAAGCCAGAGCATCAGCTGGGCTGGAACGGAGCCCAAAGCAGCTGGGGCATGAGTGTGTAACTGGTTTTATTGCCGTCTCTGTGGTTTTGCTGGGGTGTGGCTGGCCATCAGCCAGGGAGGCCCCATCACTGTTCATATGGCCCTTCTGCAGTGATTATGTTAATGATGCCAGGAAGGGGGAGAGAAGGATGACAGAAACATGTAGAACCTCTGCGCTCTCCAGGGACTTCCCATCCTCAAAGAAAATCTCTAGCTAGGGACGTTAAGCAGGGGGATTCTCCTCACCATGTTTAATACAGGACTTGAGGGTAGCAGATCAAATAACTCATTAGCTCTTGTGCTTTGAAACATCCCTTTCATATCAAATGATCTTTCCTTTTGCAATCAAAGCTGTGAAATGGAGCTGGCTCCAGAGAGTTTGCTCAGCTCCTCAGGACCAGGAGGACGCACTTTTCCATGAGCTCTGCCCTCCTCTCCAATTTCAAGGCTCGCCCAAGGACACAGTATAGTCGCCAGTGGAGCTGGCAAGATAACTTTTCCATGGAACAAAGTTCTTATTGTTGTTTCAGCAAGGCTTGTTGAGCCTCAGCTATTGCTTTAGGAATGACCTGGCTCTGATAATGTTTCACCAAACTTAAAGCAAAGTTCTCCAGGGAGCACTTGTTTTAGCCAGAGGTCCTCATAACACAGAGACTTGTGCCCTGCAGCAAAGGCGCTGGATGAAGCCAGCAGACAATGACTCTGCTTCACTGAGCAGCTGTCATGTCAACAAAGCTTGTAGTTCACCAGAAACGTTGATATTTTACTTCAAACTGGAGTATGAAGTGTGGGAGCAGGTGAAAACCTTGGTTTTCTGGCCAGTCAGAGAGAGCGTAAACCTGGCCAGGAAAGGGAGGAAGACAACTCAAGACAGCCAGAGTGTTCTGCAGGTTATGTATTGGGAGTCAAAGGCCTTAGCTTTCTCACAAAATGCCATCCAAATGATTGTCACGTACACAGGTTATTGGTGCTTCTCTCCAAAACATTAAGCCAAAATGCAATACATTTTGAGGGATCTGACCTGGAAAATGTGAGGATTCCTCCATTCATGGTGCCAAAGCAGGACAGTGCAACGAGGACAGGGACCACTGAAATAAGGTTTGTGCAGGCTTGCTGCACAAAACTCTGGAAGAAGAGCAATCATGACTGCAGGAACATGTAGTGATCTCTAGGTAATATCAGATTCAAGCAGAAAAAACTTCCTCCAATGAAGGAGTAAAATACTTAATACTTAAAATCTTGCCTTTTTTTTACTGTTATCTCTTCATAGAACAGCTTAGGTTGGAAGGGACCTTAAAGCCCACCAGCCCCAACCCCCTGTCATGGACAGGGCTGCTTCCCAGCAGCTCAGGATGTCAAAGGCCCCATCCAACCTGGCTTTGAGTGCATCCAGGGATGGGCACCACAGCTTCTCTGGGCAGCTGTGCCAGAGCTTCACCACCCTCTGAGTTAAGAATTTCTTCCAAACATGTAACCTAAATCTCCGCTCTTTTAGTTTAAAGCTATTCTCCCTTGTCCTATCCCTACTAGATTACGTAAGAAGTCAGCTCCCCTCCTGCTTATAAGCTCCTTTCAAGTACTGGAAGGCCTCAGTGAGGTCTCCTGGAGCTTTCTCTTATCCAGGCTGAACAATCCCAGCTCCTTCAACCTTTCCTAAGAGAGGTGTTCCAGCCCTCCGGCCCTTTATCTGCAGATTCTTTTTCATTATTTTTTAAGAAAGACTAGAAGGTAATGTTTTCTAATAATTCAGAGAAACAACAAAGAAAAACGAAAGACTTTTATGAGGAAAACTATCTCCTAGACCCTTGTCAAGATTACCCCCTTCAGTATAAACCGACCACACTAAAGACAGCTATCAGTAGGGTGACAACTCACCACAGCAACAGCTGGAGAAGCCAGAACATCTTGTGTTCCCAGGGCAGTGTAATAGGAGATGTTGGTGAGCATATACCCCACAATGACGGTGATCACAGACACAATGACAGCCAGGGGGATGTTTCTGTAAGAAAGGGGAAGAGAGACACGCAGTGAACAAGCTGTTATATCTTCATTTCTCATCATGTTACTGCAGACTGCAGCTGCTGTTGGTTTGGTGAACCCACAGACTTATTTCCTCCTGTTTTGTTTGCTGGTGCTTAGGGACGCAGTGGTAGCCCAGGACTGAGGCACAAAAGCCATCTACTTCTCCAGCCTTACCGTTCGGGTCTGACCAACTCCTCACGCACAAAGCTGGTCTGGAACCTGCGCAGACACAAGGAGAGGCTTTGAAGCAGCTCTCAGACAGTGACACACTGTCAGTGAGTTGCCCTCCCATCACACCTACCAGCCTGAATATGCGAACATGCCTGCATAAAAAGCCAAGGGCAGCTTATCTGGAACCAGCGACTGCCTGTCAAAAGCATCCTGGAAGTTTTTGGTGTGGCCTACAGAGGAGAAAAAACAACAGATGTGTCAGATATGGACATCCTTCCCGCAGGCTGCATACCACCTGCCCAAACCTGGGACAGGTGTGTGTGACATCATGGGCGCCAGGTATTCAGATTTGTTGCATTGTTTTAATTTACAGTGCTGTGTTGGCATAAGTCAGGGACAGAAGAAAACTATCCTCTCCTGTTCAGCTACAAGAGATATGTCAGGAAAGGCACTGTCTGGAAGTGGGAGATCACAGAGAGGAGAAGACCTGAATTCTCCCATCCTTTCTTACAGCCCAGCTCTGATTCCCTGGCCTGACCCCTCTCCCCATCCACTGACAGCCGGATGCTGGCTCTGTTTGATGTTGTGCAGCCAGCAAGGCAGCTAATGCAGCTCCCCTGGTCCCATGCTGTGCGGAGCATGGGAACCGAGAAGAGGGGCTACTGGCGTGGGAATGGCCCTGCAGGAGGGGAAGTGGGGACACAGGGGGCAAAACAAACGCAGTAATAAAAAGTAGAGGTGATTGGATCAAAGTGCATTTTACCAGCTCCTGCAGTTTTCCTAAAAGTGCTCTGCTTCAAATAAATCTGGGCCGGCACCGAGAAGCGGAAGAGGAATGGTGAGTTTTACAAAGCCGTTCTTCTTCAGAAAAGAAAAAAAATGTACAGATCAAAGTCAGGATTTTGGTTATAGGGCAGATTTTATCAGACTTCAGAAAAATAAGGAGAGGCAGGCAGGAGCATGGAGCAGCCTCTTATCTGAAGGAAGAGCAGCAAGAACACAGCCAAAAGGAGTTGTATTTCCAACATTTTCAAATCCAAGTGGCCCTAAGTTTGGGTTCCACATCTATGTTCAGTTTTCCATTTCAAAATGTATTTAAAAGAAGAGGCACAGAGTTTGTGTGGTTGTTCCTCCCAGTGAGGCACCTCAGTTGGGCATGGGGTGTGGAGCACTGGTCCAGCAAGGCTCTGAAACAAATCCCAGTCAAAGGGGAAGGCAATGGCAGGGGGAAGAACAAAAGTGTAAGCAAAGAGAGCAGGGAGAGGCTGCGGAGCAAGGCAGACTCATTTAAAAACAAGAACAAAAATGAAGTTAAAAAAAAAAAAATACATGGATTTGAAGAAAACTAATGTAGAAAATGGAATGGGCCAATTGGGGTAGTCTTTTTATACACTAAAGTGACTGCTTATAAGTGATGGCACATAAAAAGGATTTATTGTCTGCAGTATATTAATGAGTGATTTAGAATCCCCCATGAGTCACATTAAACACAACCTGTCATCCCGGGGTCTCTCGGTGGATTCTCTCTCCAGATGTCACCGGCACTTATCCTCCTCATTGGAAGACAGTGCCAGGGATCCAGATTGCCATTTGAAGGCATCCCTAACAATAATGGCTCTGGATTTCTAGCTGCAGGGCAGACCTTCAGTTCAAAAGTGCTGCCTGCCCGAGGGGGTTTTCGCGCATTCAAAGGAGCCAGCACCAGACATCAGAAAGAAACATGAATGTTGATCCTCCTGCCTTTGTTGTTTCCTCTGCTGAGGAAGGAAATAGTGTGAAAACAGAGCTGGCTTCATCCCCTGAGTGTGAATGCCATGGGCTTTTCTATAAACTGAGGCTTGGATTAAAGCCAATACTCTTGTATCAGTCCCAGAAGATATCGTTGTGAGGTTTTATCTTATGTTTTCTTTTCCTCTGGAAATGAGCACACAATTGTGCATGAGTCCATTGTAAGTTTACTATGTTACTGCCTGTTTAGGGGAGTAAAATTAAATTAGGGGGTAAAAAGCATCAGCAAAAGCCACAGGAAGGGTAGAGATGCAGTTACCAGGGCTCAGCTGGGGGCTGGTAACTCCTTACAGGGCTGTGACAGGCTTAGGACACCAGGGGATGCTGTCACATGTCCCCCACGTCCATGGCATTCTGCACTGCTTTGGAAGGACTTCAAGACATGCTGACAGTGGGTATCCCAAAGGAAAGGGTCAGCAGAGGAGTGTGCCTCTGTCAGCCCAGGTGGGCTCATACAGCCCCACTCATTCCCAAAAAGTACTGGAGTACTGTGTCCAGGTCTGGAGCCCCCAGTACAAGAGAGACAGAGAGCTGTTGGAGAGGGTCCAGAGGAGAGCCACAAAAATGATCAGAGGGCTGGAGCACCTCCCCTACGAAGACAGGCTGAGGGAGCTGGGCTTGTTCAGCCTGGAGAAAAGAAGGCTGCAGGGTGACCTCATTACAGCCTTTCAGTACCTAAAGGGAGCCTACAAACAGGAGGGGGATCAACTCTTTGAAAGGGTAGATAACTGCAGGACAAGGGGAAATGGTTTTAAGTTGAGGGAGGGAAGATTTAGGTTGGATGTCAGGGGGAAGTTCTTTACTGTGAGAGTGGTGAGGTGCTGGAACAGGCTGCCCAGAGAGGCTATGGATGCCCCATCCCTAGAGGTGTTCAAGGCCAGATTGGATGGGGCCCTGGGCAGCCTGGTTTAGCATTGAATGTGGAGGTTGGTGTCCCTGCATGTGGCAGGGGGGTTGGAGATTCATGATCCTTGAGGTCCCTTCCAACCCTGGCCATTCTGTGATTCTGTGAAAAACCTGCGGAGAAAGCTGAGCCGGGAACACCAGCCCCACAGAAGTGACACAGCTTGAAGCCAACTATCCCACACACTCAGCCCTGAGCTGTGTACATCCAGACATCACCTACCCTGGGCCAGCAGCATCATCCCTGGCACGATGATGAGCATGAGGGCCAGCAGCTTGACGACGGAGAGAGCCGTCTGCAGCCGTGCGCTCCAGGTGACGCTCCAGGAATTGAGGGTGAGGACTGCGTCTGGGGAGGAGAGCATGCTGCAGCCCATGCTTGGCACATGCAGGAAGAACTGCTCTTGTGTTGAGGGTGATCGGGACAAAAGTGCATCCTCCCAAAGAGGGTGTTCAGAGCAAGAGATGCAGACAGAATGCCTTCAGGTCTTGGGCCCCAATCCCAGAAGATAACACCCCATGGGAAGTCTGAGGCAGAGAGGCCCCGAGACGTGGCATGGAGGGTTGTACTTACAGTAGCCCAGGAGAGAGACGAGCTTCACAGCAGGGACGGGCGCTGCACAGGGGGCAAAAAATGGCTCCAGCAGGTAGCGACCAAATGCCAGAGAGACCACAGCACTGTTGGCGGGCCTGGGGGGGGAAACCAGGCAGGGTCACACTTGGCTCTGTGGATGGCCTCAACATGGCAGGACAGAGGGAGCGAAGCTTCCTTGTAGTGCATAGACCCACTACCACACAGATCCTGTCATCTTTTTCACAGGTTTTCTCAGTAAATAGGTTAAGAGGCACAGATGCAAGAAGTTTAATCTCAACTTTTGTTTTTGAGTTAAGAATTAATCACATACGGCAGTGCTGCATGTTTCATGTGTCCTGCTTCATCTCAGTGCACATGGAGGACAGGCCATTGGGAGAGGAGGATTAGCTTTTACAGGTGGAAAAAAAAAAGCAATTTACAAATTTCTAACTTGGTATTTAACTTGGGACTAAGCCAGAAAGCTTTTTATTTTCCACAGAAGAATGTGAGAAGCTTCACGATGGAAGCAGAAAATCAGAAACTAACTTGTCATTTGCTCTCAGTGGCCAAAAAATACCACAGCTCTTGAAGGATACCAGCTGCCAGGGGGGAAGAAACAGATTCCTCAAGCACAGATCACAATGAACACATGCAACTATTTGCTAATTTTGTCTTCTTCCTTCTATCACTGACAGTCTTTAAAGTTATCCAGTTGATTGTTGTTTGTTTTTTTTTCCCATTTCCTTTACAAACTACTTAGACTGTTACCTGGCACCATAACTGAACACCGAAACAAACAAAACACAGCAGCGAACTGCAGAGCACCCAGCAAAAATCAAACAAACAAAATCTCCTACCTGATAGCAAAAAACTCTGCCCACAGAAACAAGAAACTTGGCAGAGGCCCCAGGGTCTCCAAAATATAGATGTAATGTCCTCCAGACTTGGTGATCCTTGTTCCAAGCTCTGCATAACACAAGGCACCTGGCAAAGTATAAATAAGCTTAGTAAATCATCCTTTGGATTTCCTCTTTTCTCTGTGCCTTTGAGGGCCTGAAGGAGTCTGCTCAAAATAAGCAGTGAAGCAGAAGAAGAAAAACAGCTTTTAGCAGAACCATTCCTTTCCACATTTTTGTGCGTTATGAAGTTTAGAAGTCAGTTCACTCTTCTGTCAGAGGAAGGAAATTTTCTGCTAATTTGTTTAATGATACAACTTTCCAGGGAAGTCATGTGGAAAGGTAGGAGAAAGAACCACTGCTACCCACTAACCACTAAACTACAAGAGACCCCTTTTGACCCCTGGAGGTTTGGGTTGTCCCCTCTCTTCTATGCTACACAGTGGACAGGGGATGTTTTACGAGAGATCATAAATGCTTCACGCCTTTGAGCACGATGCCCACGTGAAGGGGCTGAGTGCTATTGGGGTATGACCCACAGGTGAGATACCCCATCTGCTTGTCCCAGCTTGGGCAGCCCTGCAAGAGCCCCGGAGTGGTACAGCTGTGCCCCCCTCTCCCGCAGAGACCATTCATGGTCACACCAATGGCAAAGACCCCAGACTTTTCTGCCTGTATGTGAATTTGTGCCAACACCCTGCCCAAAGTCTTGGCAGACCCCTCACATTTTACTCAGCGGCTCTCCTTTGCTTCAAGCTTGTGTTTAAGTGTTTTGTGAAGTTGGGCTAGAAGAACCAAACAACAAATTTAGCCACAAAATTTATCAACAACTTGACGAAGAGGCAGCCAGGCCACAAGAGGAGACCAAAGGAAGCCTCCCCATGCAGGGGTTGAGCTACATGACCAGCACACACCTGATCACTTTTTGTTCAGCTCAGTTAAAAGAGCATCTGTGATTTTTCTTCAGGCAAAAATAGATCTTTCCCCAATCAACCACGCACAAGCTGTATCCCACATGTGTAGTAAAGGCAGCCTATGCTTGGCAGCACATGGAACTTGAAATACTGGAAGGCATAGCAAAGAGAAGGAACCACAATCACTCCCAGGTAAATAATTGAACGTCTCGGTTTCTAAATGCTGCATTTAGAAATGTCTCATTCCAGGGTATTTTGTCCACATGGAGTATTTTTCCTTTCTTCTTTTGTTTTTGTTTTTTTCCAAGTGGTGAAAGAGGAAGAACTTTAAAGTTACCCACTGAAATAAACACCAGCTTTCTCCCCAGAGCTGTGAGATCTTGCATTTCTCCCAGCAGCACTGTTGGAGGATTGCTGTGAAAGTGCTTGTATACAGTTAATGAAGAAAACTAAAAGCCAGGGCTTTTTTTGCATGCTAACTGTAAGAGTTACATTATTTCAGAGGAGCAGAAATCAACATGTCATCAAAAAGTCAACCCTTTGTGAGACAAGAAGGGTACTAAAAGCCAACAGCAGAGCAAACAGAGAGCACTGACATCTGCTCCATCTCCTGGCTCTAAGGTACCACCAGACTCACCCAAAACATTTTGAACAGACATTCGCCTGCCCCAGCAGAGGTGCTGGTAACCCCCAGCCTTAGCAAGCCTTTACTTCTGTGGCACTCCGAATGGGGAGATTTTGCTCCATTTCACTCCCAACTTCTTACGCTTCCAGTTTTGCTGGCTCCCCTCACCTGCTGGGTGCTCAAGCAAAAGCCGACCCAACTTCCCACTCACCGAACATGGAGAGGAGCCCACAGGCAAACCACACCACCAGGGAGAACCCCACAGTGCCCGAGTTTTTCAGCACTCCTTTGGGGGAGATGAAGATGCCGCTGCCAACCATGCTGCCGATGAGAAGCGAGAAAGCCCTCAGCAAAGTTATCTTTTTCCTCAGAAAGACAGCCTCCTCTTTTTTCTTGTCTTTCCTCATGGCTGCTTTTCTATCCCCAGGGGAAGGGCATGCATTTAGGAGATACACAGCGCCTCAGCCGTCTTCAAGGTTCACCTGTAAGACGAGGAAAGAGTGAGGGATCTGGGGCTCTTCCATTCAGGACAAGATTTTTTGCAGCAATTTGTCAAGATCTGTGGAGTCCTCCTCTACCTCGAGATCCACCCAGCAAACAAACTGCAGGTTGATGTAATGGGGCCTAAGTTGGGTAAGCATCGATATTGGCACAGCGGCAGAAAGGATATTTCAAGTTGCAAACTTAGCAATCAAGACCTTGGAAATCACTTACATTATTTTTTATATTATTCTTTTTTCAGAGGAGCAAACAGCCCTGTTAATTGAGGTACACAAATGATATGTTTCAATTTCCTATTCATCTTTGATGAGTGAAAGAGCCCTGACTGCACTTTACCACAAAGCCTTTGTTTCATCAGTGTTTCTTAATATAATGTCAAGCCATTTTATTATCAGATCACTGAAGAGCCAAGGATAACTATTGCTATCAATTGCAAGATAGAGAGCAGACAGTCAGTGATATCGGAGATGCTTTTGGTACTATTAATATGAAAACCTTTCTGGGTAACAACAGCATGAACAAGGAGCTTTTCCAAGAAAAGAGAGAACTGCAGACACTCCAGGGATCAAGTAGGCTGACTTTGATCCAGCTCTTGTGCTGCAGCGAACTCCCACTCCATCCCTCCAGCCCTTGTCCCCCCCACGACTCAGTGGCCCTTGGCTGCCAGGACAGCAGTGTTATGAGCCTCGTTTCCAGGCTGTCAGTGACAGGACACGGAGTCCACAGATTGTGCTCGGGGTCAGTTTGTGGCAGGGAATCATTCTCCACTTTCCCTCTGTTCTGGGCTGATGTCTTCATCAGGAAACTCTCTAACCACTTAGGTAGGTAAGGCAAATTCACATCAAGTAGCACAGCCTAATTTGCTATAGCAAACATGTTTGTAGTTACCCCAACAGCAAGAGGGGCATTTTATGATACTAATCAATCCTGCTAGAGCAGACAAGACAGACATGGAGTGATTTGGAGTGATTCTCCTGCCTGCCATACATCCCCTCCCTTGTACACTCTGCCTCTGTGTTTTTTCGTTCTAATGCTGTCAGTCACAGGTACAGCAAACATTTGTCCCAGCCTCATGACTGCGTGCTATTGAAAGAGAGACTTTACAAGAGAACCACATCTTCTTGTTTCCTCAAATTATTTAATAATTGTGTCAGCATGTCGGTCAGCAGGCAGCAGTCACCTACAGAAACCCAAACTCATTTTGCTGACAGATTGCATTCTCTGTCCCCGCGGTTCTGAAGGGACATTTCCCGCTGCTGCTCACCCACGACAACGCTCTGCGTGCCCCATACAATCCCACTGTAACTGAGGGCTTCTGCCCCACATCCTTGCTCATCTCCCTGCTGGAGGAAGCGGGGGCTATCACTTCTCCCCTATCACACAGATGAACAGCACATGCACAAAGCCCTCTCCTTCCAGTGGCGTTAGCTGCTTTCTCTGAGATCACGCCAAGCCTGCACAAGCATCTTTCCTATCAAGCCAGCCAAGTGAGGTTATTAAGCCCCTAATGAGCCCCAGAGGACTGCACGGACTGATGGGTCGCGGCAGCAGCGCCATGGAGCCGCTGCCCACAACATCATGGGGCTGCCCGAGGCTGGGGCTGCCACCGACCTGCAGCACCCTGAGCCCTGGGCTGCAGCAGCTCCTGGCAATTAAGAGCACTCATCGAACACCGCTGTCTGCTATTGGGATTTCTGAGCAGAAGAGAGAAGCACAGAGCATTCGTTTGTGAAGACGAATTAAAATCAGTGGGAAGAGAGATGTTTTGTGCACAGATATGGCTAAAGCACGACTGTGAGAAAATTAAAAGGGCACTTATCTGGTTGGCTGGGGGTTAAACCAAGCAGGCGCATTTGCAATCCATCAGATTCCCATTCCTTGCTGGGATCCCGGGGCGGCAAAAGGCAGCAGCTCCTCACGGGCTCTGAAATTCCACTGAGAGGGGGGAGCATAAAAAAAGGAGAGATCAAGTCAAATTTGCACACCAGGTTAATGATCCACTGTAAATAACAAACTCTCTACTTCTGTCCACATGGTGTTTTTCTTCATATACATACTATTGCCACGCAGGTGTATTTGGAGGCAAAACAGTACGGTAAATTTCAGAAAGGTGAAATCTATCAGGACTTCTTCCAGAAGCTGTTGAAGAAAAAAAAAAAAAAAAAAAAATGGAGGAGTGGGGAAACAAGCAAGAGTAATAGAAAGCTGTTTAACAGCGGTTCAAAGAGACACCTAACAGTGTGCCCAGGGAACCCACTCTCCTGCTCTGCTTCTCGCTGAATTCCAGGCATTAACATGCAGGGATGTTAATCCTGGTTGCGATGCTTAAGAATATTCACAATGTGCTTAGCCCAAAGTAAATGCACAAAGCTGCTTTTTGTTCACCCTGTGATTTAAACTACAGGCTCACATCCTTCTCGTGCAAAAATACCTTTGCTGGAAATCAGCAGCCAGTGGGACCGGAGGAAAATAGAGCCATCTCACAGCTTCCCACCTGCTGCAAGTTTACTCCACTGTTCTTCGTTTTTATCGATTTTTCTCTTTCCAAGCCATTAATCTTACCTTGCAGATGCTGCAGCATGGATGGAGATGAAGGAGATCAATGTAAAGGGGAAGCCGTGTTTGCTATCTGTAGCGGTGCCTAGAGGCCCCAGCCGAAAGAAGGACCCATCGCCACGAGCACACAGAGAGATGTCACTCTTCTGGGAAGCCATCCACAGACAAGCAAGTTAGAAGAATTAGAGAGAGAAAGCACCATCCCCAGCTGGGACCTGGAGCAAAGCAGTGACCTCCCTCCTCTCCTATCATGCAGGAAGCGGGTGGCATCCCTGGGAAACAACAGTTCATACCTCCAAAGTCCCAGTTCAATGACTTACCAAAAAAAAAAGCCCCTACCAGGGAACACTCCTAACTGTTTACAGCTGTATTTTCTTTGCGTGGGCCTCAATCAATACAATACAGCCAAGAACAGGTTAACCCCTTCCTTTTCACGTCGCGAACAACAGAGGTGTCAAACTGTTCGCCGCGGTCCCACTGTTTTCGCTTTTTTTTTTTGAGCCCATAAATGTCACTCTGATTCAATGTCTGCCACAAGGCACAGGATCTAACTAAATAAAATCAGCAGTGAATGGGAGTTTTTTTATTCATGCATGAAAGTAGCATAAATAAGCTTTAATGAGGCTGGTGGTGGTCTGTTCTGGGAACATGATCAGAAAATCTATTTAGGAGACCTGAGAGATACTTGTTTATAGACCATAATGAACACAAGAAACTGGCTGAAAAGACAAGATGTGCGCCTAGACTTCTTTTCAGCTTTCTACAGCTGTTCTACCACCCTAAATAAGAAATCCAAAGGGACAGTAGTTAATAAATCAGCTCATTCTTGCAGCCTAAGCAGTAGTAATAAATGCAAGGTGATTGCTACAGGTGTAAGCATAAGGATCATTTCCAATGCCTCCTCTTTCTACTTCACAAATTTAGTCTTGAGAGTTATCTATGAGAAGAGTGGAATGTCCTCATTTTCCTTTCTTAATGAAAATATTTTGTTAAGCTCTGACAGGAAAATGGATTTTGGCCTGGGTCACACTTACCATCTCTGTCACATTATTTAGGGGCTTCCTGCTGTCCTTTGGACAAGAGTGACGATTCCTGGAAAACAGGCTGATGAGTCTGACACGTTGCTGATGTGATGATCATCCTTTAATTGAGAACCTAAAAATGTTGAACCCACACTTTCACTCTTTTGCTAGAAATTGTTCCAACTGAGCCTGGTTTTCAAGCATGTTGTTACAGAGCTCCTTCCTACCAGGATTTCTGACCTTCACTTAGTTTAAGATTATTTATTACAATCAGTCTGCCAAAGAAGCCACTGCAAGTGCATATATTTTAATGAATAGCAGCATTGATTTATCTTCACAAGATGTACAGATTACATGATGTCATCCCACTTTTCTGAGCATCTGAGTGTAACTCTTCATTCAGCTGCCACAAGAAACATGCTTCTGTGCAGCCAGAACTCATTTCCCATGAAAGTCACGCAGGAACATTGGCTCATAAGGATTTCTTCCTTTCATGTCACCTGTGACATATGCAAAACATAAATACGTGACTGATGTGCACCTGACTAAAACAGACTCCACTCTTCTTCCACAGCAATGGCTATTAATGTTATTAATGTCTATCAGAAGGATGTACCAGAATCCCTGTGAAAAGAACACAATACTCCTTCCAAACGGGAAGGAGTAAATACCCCAAGTGCTTGCCTCCCGGCCCATCATTCCCAAAGGGCCAGCACCCAGAAAACCAGGCTCTGGGGCACAGATAAAAAGAATTTCACAAGGAAACTGTTGAGCATAGCAGGATGCTCTGTGAGGCCAGCGTTTTGGCTCAATAGCCTCTCTTGTGGGGCACAGCATAGGGAACAGTCCTTAGAGCTTTGTTCTTTTGCAGTCTGCACTCCAAGTAGCAAGCTGTTTTCACTCTCCAAATCAGACCTCCTCCCTGGAACAAGACAGTTTGTCCTATTTGAAATTGTTTTCTTAGCTGTGTAAGACAGAACACAAACAAAAATAAATCTAAACTTTTCTATCTGGTAGAAGAGATCCAACAGAAAAGTCAAATGCTGTAGCAAAGCATGGCCAATTTTTCCTAAAATGAGAATTCCTTTCAACCATTCAAAATTTTTTAAAAATAATAATAATCCTGAAATACAGCAACATTCCTGCCCTTCCTGATGATTTGTTGTGCTTCATCAGTGCTGTGGTCTGAGTTCTGTTCTGTCTTTGACAGGGAGCTAGTCCTAGCTTTTGCAGGAGAAATTTCTCCATTAACCAAGTCTTTGCTTTACCTCTTGCCCTAGCTGGGAGCTATAAAGTCCTTCCTTCCTAATACTACTCTGTGATTAGCCAGAAGCAAGCTGCAGGCTGTTCCCTGGGGAAACAGGTCCCCATCAGGGTTAGAGGTGCTGTCTAGTACAGAGGGACATGGTTTGGTGGATGTGGCAGTGATGGGTTGAAGGTTGGACTAGGTGATCTCAGTGGTCTCCTCAAACCTTAATGAGTCTGTGATTCTATTCTATGACTGCCACACAGCCCAGGAGCTGCTATGAGGGGCGGGGGGGGGGGGGGGGGGCAGTTAATCAAGGCCAACGTCCCCATCAGTGCTAGGACAACAGCCCTGTCATCCTCTATTATCCTCCATCTGCTTTCAGATGACAATCCAACGTCAAAATCTTAGAAACGTTCTACAAGAACAGGACACATCTTATGAAATGCCAAAGTGGCCCCACTCCTCACCATCTGCACTCTCAAAGAGGACATTCCCTACTAATGCAAGCTGTTTTATCCAGCCATGGAGACAGTTCTCCCCTCTCAAGATGTTTTGTTGATGCAGAGGAAACCTTCCCCTGCTCCTGCACATTGTTGGATGGTGAGCCCCATCTGACGGAGGTTCCTGACCTAACCCCACTTTAACCATCTGGAACTGAATTCTTCCAGGACTGATTGTAATAAAATGCCTCTTTCCATATTGCCTCGTATATTATGCTACATTCCTCCTTAATCTCACTGAAATGCTGCTGATTTATCACCCCAGGCCTCCAGCTCCCCTAAGGCCTCTATCACAGTGCCTGGCTTTCTTCTTTCTCTTCCTGTCTTGAGGGAATTCAAAAGAAAATTTAAACATAAAAAAAAAGGAAATCCTTCACACTGGGATTATCCACACACTCATGATTGCTATTCACCTTTGATGTAGCTGTCTAACTGATGGTTAATCCTCAGTATTTTGTGCTAACTGTCCCACTGCAGTACCTGAAGCATGCACGGCCCAGACTGCATCGAACATACCTCAGGATGTGGGGACTCTCCTTTTGGCCTCTGTTCAGCTGTTGCTCATTTATTAAAATAGAAGCCAAAGGCACAATTACACTGGAGGGAACACATTTCCTTGTTAAACTTCTCTGGCTTTCATCCAGAATTTCTCAAGCTATAGAGATTTGTGTTTTACTGCACAGAGTTTCAGATTAATTGCTCACCATTCCCTGTGCCTCTGATGGAGCGGAGGAACATGAGTAGGATTTCTCTGACCAGAAACACTACCTCATCCCCCACAAAACAATACAGGAATGCACATCTTTGGTTTCTGACCATCCATCCCAGGTAACAGGGAGCAAGAGGTGGGAGAGGATTTGTTAAGGATGGTGGTTACCAAAAGGGACAGGATAACGACAGGAAACAGCTCATGCAGAGCTTTAACCCCAGGTCTGGAAGGAGTCCACCAGGCTGTGCACAGAGGTCCTGCTTTGTGACTGCAGTGAAGCAGAAATATGTTATTACAACTCACGATCTAGGGAATGAACATCTGGCACCGGATTCCCTAAGCACTCACTAACTATAGCCTGCTAAAGCAGATGCTGAAGTGCAAAGGCACACCAGAAGCACGTGCTGAAGGGCCATTCAGATCATGACTGTAAGGAGACATCATTCTCTCAAAACCTTATCCCAATAATTGCATCTACATACCTTGGTAAGGGATGGCATTGTGTCATTGTGTCACCATAGTAATGAGTGTGCTGCCTGTGCCAGCTTTCCCTCAGCCCAAAGGACAGAACCAAAAACCCAACTCATGTGCCCTTCCAGGTAACATGAAGGACACCTCCCATTTTCACTCATTTTTAGTGAGAATCAGATTCTAGGAAGAAGCATGTCAATAACAGTAGATCAACATGCTCACTGGGAAGGTTAAGTCAACATCAGACCACGTTTATTTAGTTTTAATGTAAGTACAGTCACAGAAGTGTCAGCTGGAACAGATCTCAGGACACCGCTGGTCCTGTGCCCCATGAGAAGCAGGGCTGTTACCAGTGCTAACTCAGATCAGCCATGGATTTCTCTAGCTCAGTTTTAAAAACCCCCAAAGATGGGGAGTCTCTGTTCCAGGTGCAGGGCTTCACCGCCTTCCTGGAAGAATCCTCCCCCAGCATCCACCCTGAACCTCCCAAGCCACCCATCATCATCCACAGCCACATCATCTGCCACTACGGGCACCTGCAGCAGCTCAGCTTCATGTCCTCCTGCACAGATCTTTGGTGCTGCTTCTTGCCTTGTCAAACCAACCCCAGAGACTCACTCCTCCACGTTTCCCTGAAGTCCTCGGACTCAGCAGAACTGTGGGCTGAGATGGCTGAAGCACAGAAGGCTACAGCCTAGAGAAAGGTGCCAAGTGGATGTTCCCCAGCATGACAGCTCCAGCATGGGTAGCTCATCCATGGTGCTCCCTTGACCATATCTCCCCTGAGCTCCACATCCAACCAAGTGTCTGCCTGTTTTTAGGGTGCACTATTTGGTTTTGATGTAGTTTTAGGTTTTCCCTCTTTTTTCCATCCTGGACTTAGAACCTCTCCGTGATCTCTGCTTGTCAGCCTGATTGCATCATCCACTGCAGGCTGTCAGCCCGATTGCATCATCCACTGCAGGTAACATTAGCAAGAATAGAAGGAAAAACAAACAGCACTTCACACAACACGCAGGCCCAGTGGCTGAGAGCACTTGCAGCCAGCAGAGGCTACAGACCTCGGTCAGGTTGAATACAGACCTGCGTCACTGAAGGGGCAGGAACTACAGTTGTAATTATCCATGTTGAAGTTGAGGTCACTACATCTCTTGCTTCAGGAGCAAATCTGAGCACAGCAGGGAACCCCAGGAGAACATTTCCTTTGCGCACAGCCCAACAAGGCTCTGAGTGCCTGCTGCCCAAAGGAAGGAATGCTGCTGTGATTCAGAATGCATGTAGTTTACGCACAGAGACAGGAAAGGAACTTCCATTGCAGGACAGGGCCATAGCCACAAGTGGCACTGTGATCTGGGGCCCCTATAGCCAGCACCAAGGTTCACCATCCTGAACATGGAAGAACTGAGGTCAGCACATCTCCCGGGTGCCTTGAAACCATACTGACCAAAACACCCCCAGCCCTTCCCAGAGGACAGAGAGAATGAGGAGAGCAGTGCTCACCTGGGAGGAGCAGCAGGGGAGGATGGTCACCTGCAGCAGATGGCTGCCCTGGCATTGCCAGTGGTGCTGGCAGGATCCTCCCTGCAGTACGGGTGGTTTTCCAGAGGTGTCCTTCATGAGAGAGAGTGTTGCAAAACTCCAGGCCTCTGGAATTTCATACCAATGCAGCTGCTCAAATATAATTGTGAAAAATATTAGCAATTGAATTGTGAAGGCTTTGCAAAACAGCCAAGTACAAAGAAAATAAACTAGCATGCTGTGCTTGATGTAAGCACACAACAGTCTCCACATGTCACTGGAACCAGTGCGTTCTGCACCAGCTAAACACTGCTTCTGAAGACAGAAAAACATTTCCAAAGGGAGTGGCCGTACAGCCATGGCCAAGCCCTCGCTCTATCACAGCGCTGGTGAGCCCTATGGGCTGCCCTGCCATGCATAGATGGGCTTCAGGGACATGAGACCTCCAGCCACAGACTAGGACTCTGCACTTAGCAAGGCTCTGGGTTAAAGCATCCTTCTGCTTAGCTGTGAAATGCTGTCTTGTACAGGCCCATGGGGAGACACAGACACAGTGGTCCCCAGGCTCTGTTGTCTCCTAAAAGCCTACAGCCAGCACCCACAGGCTTAGTGCCTTACCTTCCCACAGGGAGAGCTTGTGCTGCTTCAGGTTTTATAATCATAGGATCATCAACATTGGAAAAGACCACTAAGATCACCCAGTAAAACCATCAGTGCATCCCCACCCTGCCCACTGACCGCGTCCCTCAGTGCCACATCCATGTGGTTCTTTACGTCTCCAAGGATGGTGACTCCACCACCACTCTGAGCAGCCTGTGCCAGCAAGAGGAAATGTTTCCTAGTATCCAACCCAAACTTCCCCAGTACAAAATGAGGCCCTTACTTCTTGTCCTATCACTGTTACCTGGGAGAAGAGGCCAACCCCACCTCGCCACAACTTCCTTTAAGGTTGTAGGGGGCAATAAGGTTTCCCCTGAGCTTCTCTTCTCCAGACAAAACAACCCCAGTTCCCTCAGTCACTTCCCATCAGACTTGTGCTCCAAACCTCTCACAGCTCCATTCCCCTTCTCTGGACATGCTGAAGGGCCTCAGTGTCTTTCTTGTAGTGAGGGGCCCAAAACTGAACACTGCAGTCCACTGCAGAGGGACAATCATCAACTACCTCCTGCTGGCAATGCTATTTTCTATACAAGCCTGGATGCCCTTGGCCTTCTTGGCCAGCTGATCACACACCTGCTGGCTCACGTTCAGCTGGCTATCAACTAACATGCCCAGATCATTCTCCTTCATGCTGCTTGCCAGACATTCTGCCCCCTTGGTCTTGTTGAACCTCATCCCATTGGGCTCAACCCAGCTATCCAGCCTGTGCAGATCCTTCTGTAGTGCTTTCCATCCCCCAGGCAGATCATTTCCTCCCAGCTTGATGTCATCTGCACTCTTACTGAGGGTGCACTCAATGCCCTCATCCAGGTCATCCGTAAAGATATTGAACAGGACAGGACCCAATACCACCCCCTGGGGAGCACCACTCATGACCATTCACCAGCTGGATTTTACTCCATTCACCAGCACTCCCTGGCCCAGCCCTCCAGCCAGTTTCTTACCCAACTAAGAGTGTACCCATCCAAGCCATGGGCTGCCAGCTTCACAGAGCACCGTGGAAGGGAAGGAGGCGTTCAGACTTGCGGCAGCATTTGCACCTGCCATGCACTGGTAAGGTCTCTCTTCTCCTCCAGCTGTGGTGGGCCTGAGGTGGGCAAATACATCTCTGAGCACAGTGCCATGGAAGTGCCTCATCCTGGAAGCAAGGAGAGGGAAAAGTGAGAGCAGTAGCTCTGGCAAAGGAAATGAGGGGTACATAGGCAGAGAGCAGTGAGAGATTAAACCATCAGATTGAAAAGGAAGGGTAATTCCCCAGAGAAGAATATAAGCGGGGGAGGGGTGGAGAAGGAACAGATTGCAGCTCCATAATGAGGCAGACAGCGTTTCCCTTGTGATCTGCCCAACATCTAGTTGGCTTTTCTGACAGAAAAAAAGATCCTGTGCTACTCAGAAATCACTGGTGGAGCGGGTAAAGCTCTCCCAGGAGTGGATGGAGAAAGGCGAAAGACAGCAAGCTGCTGTTCCTCACACCCAGCCCCCAGTTCCCTGTATTTCAATAGGCAAATAACAGCTCGGGGTCAATAGTTGCAGCCTCTTTCCTGGAACTGCAGCAGCTGGAGCCAGCAGCCAAACTACTAAGTGGGAGATCTGGGGGTGCAGTCAGCTCCTTTCGTTGCCTGCAGCACGGCACTATTTGTGGCAGAGAGCAACAGCACATCTCTTCTGGGCTGCGGTTTGGAAGATAATATTGCATTTTAGATGGGGTGGGAGCAAAACCAGCAACATACTGGGTTCCTTCTTGGCAGAAGTTCTCAGGAACAAATGGGCAGTGTGTTAAACACCCCTAACACAGACCCCACAGTGTGTTTGTCTAAACAAGAGAAGCCAGAAAGAAGCCCGATTGCAGTTGATTCATTTTCTCTTTCCTAGAGAATGAATTAATCTATTCATCTAATTCATTCTAGAGAATGAATTTCCCAGCTCTCAGAGTTATCAGACTGATGCATGCCTTTAGTACTAAAGTACCTGAAACAAAAGAAGCAGCTCAGCACACAGGAAAGCTCTGCAGGCACAGCGTTGACCTACGGCCATGCAGAGCTCAACCCTGCAAATACACCCCCCACCTCCAGAGCTCGCTGGAGGATGCAAACTTACTGAGCTCCCTCCTGCCATTCAGTGGGAAGATGAGCACAGAGACAAAGCTGCCCTCACAGTGCTTCCTTATGATGATACACAAAGGCCTGGTTTGCATCGATCAAGTCCAGGAGCTGCCCACTGCTTTTGCTTCATGAATGCATCCAGCACAGCACCAACATGCCAGGAAGCCCAGGTTCTGCAGGCAGAAACCTAAGAGCAAGGTACTCCAGCTCCCTTTCGGCATGATACACTCTCAGACACGACACTGCAGTACACTGCTGCTTATATGCACAGCCGTTCCTTGAAATGTTCTCCCTGCTCTTGGAAAGATAAACTTTCTGTATAAGCAGTCAACTGCCAAATATCTCTATTGTGTTTCCTCTCACAGTCTAATTACTCAAGCTTGCTGAAAGTATCAGCATAAATTTTTCGTGCTGTGCACAGAAAAATCTCTGCAGCCAGTTCTGGCTTCCTTTACGTGCCTCAAGGACTCACATCAGTAAGCACCCAGGCTCACGCACAGCTACACAGGTCCAGGCTCACAGATTGAAGACTTCACAGCAGCACCACACCAGCAAGAGCTACTGGTTGTCACACAGCCATGCGACATCCTCAGCACAGGACTCCAAGTCAACAAAACTCCTTAGGAGATGAATGTGCTGTAGGCACACAGTAGGCACAAAAGGTCACCTTGTGGCATTTTAGTGTTGCTGTGGACACCAGGTGAAATGGTTTTAAGTTGAGGGAGGGAAGATTTCGGTTTTATGTCGGGGAAGCTCTTTCCTAGAGATTGTGAGGTGCTGGCACAGGCTGCCCAGAAAGGTTGTGGATGCCCCGTCCCTATTGGTGTTCAAGGCCAGGTTGGATGGGGCCCTGGGCAGCCTGGTCTAGCATTAAATGGGGAGGTTGGTGGCCCTGCATGTGGCAGGGGGGTTGGAGATTCATGATCCTTGAGGTCCCTTCCAACCCTGGCCATTCTGTGACTCTGCGAGTTCCAGCCTTCCTTCTGACAGGACAAGAATCCAGCCCCTGCCACGTGGAATTATGATGGACTGGATTTTTGCACCACAGTGTTTGCAAAAGGCTTGAATATACTTACACCCTTCTTGATGGAGCAGCTATTCAGGTGTTATCATCAGTTATCGTCCTACTGCCACATTGTCTTCTCCTACAAATATTTTCATCAGATGTTGGCCTGATGTTCGTTCGGCCCTTTATTCCAGGACACTTGCTTACAGAGGGAGGTATGTTTCTGGTTGCTGCTAATGTCACATGTTTTGTTAAGGAAAATTTGCCTGTCAATCTGCTTGGCCATGATATTTCTGAAAACAATAACAAAAAAGAAAACGCCACTTAAAATGGACCTCAAGTCACCAGTGACCAAAGCACTCCTCTTCATCAGTTTTGCACACAAGGGATGAATTATCAGTCCTTATGTTTTGTCAGTTTTGCACACAAAGGATGAATTATCAGTCCTTGTGTTTTGTTAAAGCACTGTGCCTGCCTCATACGAAGGGATGTTTCAAAAGCCACTTCTGTCCCAATTCACCTAAATCAAAAAGTTTAACAGGACACGTAGCTGCCCTGCAAATACCCATGAGTTTTTTTCCTAATTCAACATAGCAATAGAATACCTTCAAGGATAACAACTGATCTGCCCAAGTCAACAGCACGCAGTTTTCCAGACTGAATCATAGAATCATGGAATGGTTTGGGTTGGGATGGACCTTCAAGATCACAGAGTTCCAACCCTCTGCTATAGGCAGAGACGGATCCCTCTAGACCAGGCAGCTCAAAGCCCCCATCCAGCCTGGCTTTGAATGCTTCCAGGGAGAAAGCATCCACAACCTCGCTGGGCAGCCTGTTCCAGTGTCTCACCATCCTCACAGTGAAGAATTTCTTCTTGTTATCTAGAATAAATCTGCCTTTTCCCAGTTTAAAGCCATTTCCCGTCATTCTGTTGCTACATGCCCTTATTAAAAAGCCTATCTCCAGCTTTCCTGCAGGCCCCTTTCAGGTACTGAAGGCTGCTATCAGGTCTCCTTGGAGTCTTCTCTTCTCCAGTCTGAACAGCCCCAGCTCTCTAAGCCTGCCCTTGTAGATGAGGTGCTCTAGCACTCTGATCATCTTCTTGGCCCTCCTCTGGACCCACTCCAACAGCTCCACATCCTTCTTATGTTGGGGACTCCAGAACTGGACACAGTACTCCAAGTGGGGTCTCACGAGAGCAGAGGGGCAGAATCACCTCCCTCGACTTGCTCCACATGCTTCTCTTCTTGGATGTTTTATTGAGATCTCTTCTTCCCCCTTCACTCTTCGCCAATTCAGTGGAAGACAGGTTGCAAGATGGATCCCAATGGAGAGACATTTGGAGTCTTTCTTTGCTGTGACACTGAAGTAAAGCTTTTAACAAACGTAGCACAGCCTCACAGATGAAATCACATTGAATTCTCACCCTCAGTGCCTAAAAACTGATGAACTGGCAAAAACCCTTCTGACTGTTTTATTGTGTGCAGAAATGCTTAAGAAAACAGAAAAGTGCACGCAGGCTGCAGGAACTCTAGCAGCTAGGCAGCGTGTGTCAAGGTAGGGAAGCAACACTGAGGACCTAAGCGACAAGAAGAGGAGGGTTACAAGATGAAGGCACAAGAAAACCCTGCTGCAATGCACATTTGCTTCATTCCCATGTCTCCTCACAGGCATCTCCGACTACATAAAATGGCAGCCCATGATGTTGTGTTTCTGACCTTACTACCAAAAATTCCCAAACCTCCCCAAGTAGCACAAAACCATCACAAACCAAAACCACAGACCTGGAACAGATTGCTATTTTCACTTCCCTTCTCTCTCTCTCCAAAACTTCCCCCAGAAATATTAGTCAAAACATTTTGGTTTTACGAACAGCAAGACAAGCAATGCCCCGTGTCTGAGTTACGTTGCAATAAAAGTAGAATAACTGTTTGGAATCGTTTTTCCTCTAACCAGAAGCGGCGTCAAAAGCGGCATCAAAACCCAATGTCTTTTCACACAGGACGTGGGTGCCAAGCATCAGCATCCCATACACAACTCCTGGCTTTGTGGGAATTGCCGGTGAAGCCACAGAGCAGCTGAGAGGTGCACTCGAGAGATTGGCTTCTTCCTACAATGGGGGCATCCCTCTGGTTGTGTGCGACCCTCCACTTCAGCTTACCCTGGGGTACCTCAGCACCACGGTCTCCCACCGTACAGCCCTGGCAGTGGAGGAAGTGTTGGCCTCCGAAGCGGCAGCCGTGCTGAGTGCGGCCCTTTGTTTTCACCGGATACGTTCAGGGCAGCACAGAAAGAGCAGTCACATCTGGGACCCTCTCGAGGGGCTGCTGGCAAAAATCCAGAGGCTCCTTAGAAGAAGCGGCAGATTGTGGGTTTTGATGCCTTGGGCAGGATGTCTGCTTCCACAATGGCTGGGGAAGGAAGGAATAGAAGAGGAGATGGTCTGATAAGAGCACAGCTGTGATAAAAGGACTCTGTCTGTTCAGTATTCATTTATTTGAGCAAGAAGCAAAGTGCCCACAGTCACTGCATTACAGATGTTACAGTCTCATGCCTCAGCAAAATGGGAACTGGTCAGACTAGAGGCGATGTTAAATGCCAGCACAGAAACAGGCGCAGAGCAGAGCAGCGGTGACAGACAGGGGTCCTTCTCAACTGTTGTTAAAATCATTTCCTCAGCCTTTTGGGGTCTCCATCCCGCTTTGTCCCGGGCAGGGGCAGCTCTGCAGCTGCAAGATGGAGAGCTGTGCTTTTGGAAGGGCGGCCTCTCTTCCATAATGAAACTCCGGGCCTTTTACTTACAAATTTGTTCTGCTGAGAGCATTCACATCGGTGGAGCGCAGTGACCGGGCGGCCCATCAAGAGCTTTAGCAAGGCTTTCAAAAGCACCGCTCCATGGGAGAGCTCCTGCTTTTGGCTGCCAGCTGGCCTTCGCACCGGCCCGGCTCGCGTTTTGTACGAAGGGAAGACCGAGATTCCAGGAGCGCGTTTGTCACCGTCACATTCCCTGCCCACATCAGGCCGCTCGCAGCGCAACGGAGCACCGTGGGCTCCGCCTGGCGGTCACTGCTGCCGTACCGACATCCCCGCGCCCTGAGCCCGCAGGGAAAGATATGTTACTTGAACGCGGTTCTGCTCCTTTCTTTTAATCCTGAAAAGGCGTAGTTTTAAACGGAAACAGAAAACGAAGTATATATTTTGCATTCCCTGCTGGTTGCAGATGTGGCTAAGCAGCCGCACATCCTTTCTTCTCGCTTTGATTCTCCTATAAAAATCAGGAGTTCTACTCAGAAAGTAGCATGCACATTGCACATTTTCCTCTTAGCAGAAGAAATAATTTCGATTG